TTTGAATCGAAAAAAAACGCAACATTTTTTTTCCAGTTCTCGGGTTTTTGAAATGTTTAATTCACTTATCCTTATTGCCTTGATAATAAAGGATAATTCTGTGGTGAATTATAAAAATTTAAGGAAAGCCCACTTAGGGGGGCCATGGGACCCTCGGCCCTCCGGGCCCACCATATCACGTAAATACGTATGGGTAGTGGGGCTTGTTTTATAATGGCGCATCCTTACTGCAAAATCTTTAAGTTTTTGCAAAACTTTAAGATTAAACAAAACAGGTGCGGGGGGGTTTTGTGGCGGGGTTGTGTTTTTTCATTCCAAACCATTTTTTCACCCTTGTTTAATTCGAAAAAAAAAAAATTATAAAAAATAAAATACCTTTGTACCCATTTCCGGAAAAAAATGGCCAAAAAAACATTTCTCTTTGCCCATATTTTTAGATAATTTATTTTTCGCCATTTCCAAAAGGGTTATTCCCAATTCTATCAATTTAGAAAAAAAAACTTTAATTCGAAAAAAATTACCCAAAATTGACCCCCGGGGATGGACCCAACCCCTCACCCGGGGGCCCCCCCTCTCCCGTAATTTTGTTTTAAAAGTTTTCCTGGCAAAAACCAACTTTGCCGGAAAAACCAATAAAAAAACCACTCCAAAAAAAAGAAAAAAAGGCTAAACCGGTAATTTTTCAGTATAGCTCCCGCGGGGTCTACCGGATGGGGGCCGCAAACCGGAGGACAATGAGGGGGGTAAAAGGGGCGAAAACCAATCAAAAAGCCCCCCACATTTTTTCCCTCCTTCGGAGGGGTAGAGGGGGGGGAGGGGGGACGGGAAACGTTCATTTATCTGGTTTGTTTTTTTCCAACCCCCACTACCGGGGATAACAACTTTTTCCCCCTAAAAAAAAGTTTATTTTTTCCAGCTTTACCCTTATACCCGCTTATGATCCCGGAACCTTCACGGAGTGTTTTGGGGTTCCGACAGGGGTTTCCAAAAACCGAAGTATTTTGAAAACGGGGGGGACTGTTTCTTTTTACCATGGTTAGTAGTTCAAGATTTTATTGGTATTCCCCCCGGAGTTTTACGAAATACTAAACATTCAAACAAAAACCTTTTTTTTTCCAATTGCGACTTCTTGGAATGAGGGGTGGGTTTTTTTAGCGGAAAGGGTTGGGATAGAGTATTATAGAGGGGGGAGGGGAAAAAAGGGTTATGGGGGGGGGGGGGGGGACCCCCAGCAACAAGATTGGGCCAGGGCCTTCCGATCTGGCCCCTTTTTATTAGGGCAGGAGGATTTTTTCTTGGGGGGAATAATGGGAATTTTCCCCCCACACCCATCTTCTTGATTTTTTGCCGGGATTTTTAGAGGCTCAGGGGTGGGATTTTTTTTTGTGCAAGGGGGGGACGTGGTTATTGCTGGAAATTTTTGTACCATTGGACACCCCCAAACTTTTATTACCGATTTTTTTTTTTGAACAAAAAAAAATAAATAACTCCGTTGGGCCCTGTTCAAAAGGGGTGTTGATTGAAACATAACCCACGGGGGGAATAAAAGGATCTAAAACCATGGTTATTTAGGAAAAAATATAACCCACACCAGAAAAAAAAGATGTCGGTTTTTGATTGTAAGAGGGTCCTTTCGGTTAAATGGGAAAGGGGGGAATTGTTCACCACAAGTTTTGCAGGGGGAGTACATGTTTATTTTAATGGGGTGTAATTTAAGAAGTTCCCGGGAGGGGGATTTACAGTAGGGGGGGGGGGGGGGGGGAACGGTCATCCAAGGGAGCAGGATGGTACAGGCGCGGGGAGTTTAACCGGGGGGGGGGATTGGTTTGTGTGCGTTAGCAAACTGTTGTTTTCGGGGGGGAGGATACAAAAAAAGTTTTATGCTATCTTCTGGGCTTGGGAGGGGCCGGAGGGTGGGGGGGGGGACGCCTGGGGGGTTTAGAGTTTCAGGGGAACGTTGGGAGGATAATTTCTATGTGGGACCGTTGTTGGGTGATTCGAAGGAAAAAAGGTTTCTACAAAAAGGGGGGTGTTTTTTTGGGGGGCTGGGGGACGCTGCCTCGGTTGTGTGACAGGGCAAACTGGGCAAAAAACTTTTCTTCAAAATACCCGGTCGCCCGGTTCGCCTTAATTACTCCTTTTTCCCGGGGGGACCACCAAAAAATTTGGTTTTTTTTAACCCGAGCTCATTTTCCGGGGTAGGATATTTAATATAAATCCTTTTGGCGTTTCTTTTTTCTAAAAAATAACCGGGGGGGGGGGGGGGGGGGTACCAGGGGGCTGGAACAAAATAAACAAATGGATCTTTTTTCCTTCGGGTTTTGGCCTTCCAAATTTCCTTACCCTTTTGTTGGCTGGTGGTTGGGAAAAAAACCCTTGGGGGGGGATATAATTTCGGTTTCCGGAGATTAAAAAATAAACGGTATAGGGTGTTTAGTTTTTTTCCCACTCATGGGGAGGGTGGGGAGTTTACAGGTTTAAAAAAAAGGGGGGAAGTGCCCCCTACAAAAAAGCCAGGATTGGGGGGGGGGGGGGACGGGAGGTATTGGGGGCCCCATGTTTTTTGGGTTTTTTCTGGATTCAGTAGGGGGTTTTCTTTTTGAAATTTGGGCGGTTTTTGAACCAAGGCATTGGGTTTGACTGACCGAGGGGGGCGGTTCTTGGCAAATTCTTTTTTTTTTCAATTTTTTGTGGGTATTTGCAGAATGGGAACACGCTAAGACCCCCCCAACCGCCATTTTTTCAGGGTACTTGGTTTCCCTTTTCAGTGAAAACAAAACGTATTGGTTTCATTGAATAGGTTACCGTTTTCTGGGGCCCGGAAGTTGGTTTTTCACCGAATAAACAACATCCCACCACACATTTATTTTGCTAAAAAGGTTAAAAAAGGGGGAGGTGAATTAGGGATGGTGGCAATAAATTCAAGTGGCTAAACCTTGAAAATGGGGGAAGGGTATTTATGTAACCCCAAAAAATTAAAGTTATTTAAACTTTTTAGGTTCTTTTTAGTTCTATTTATGGTTTTTTAATTTATTTTACCCGCCCCCCCCACCACCAAAAAAAACCTTTTTTGGTTATTTAAAAATTTTCCAGGTCTCCTTTTGTATTTTTTTTTCAGGAAAAAATTTTTTTATTTAGGGCTCTGGCCAAAATTAATTTCTTCTTTACCCTTGGGGGAAAAAAGTTTCTTTTTTCCTTAGTGGCTGGGGACTCGAAAAAGGTTTTTTGGGGATTATATTCGGATGTATTTTCATGGGTCATTTGCCTTTGGAGGCCGGGGGTTCCGGAAGGGCTTCTTCCCATTGGAACATTTTTAAAAAAACCCGCCGGGGGGGACCCCGGCGGGAGTGTGTCCCCAAAATTTTCGTTTTCCCCCAGAATTTTTGCTGTTGCTGCTGAGGGTTTTTTAGTTTACACTAACCGGGGTTTTCGTTTCCCACATATTTTAAACAAACGTAATGAATTTTTTGGGGGCGTCAAAATTTGGATTTAACCCTGTCCCCGTATCAGTTTTTTTTAACCCCCCCCACCAATAAAGATTATTGTGTCAAAATTACCAAACTTAGGCCGTTTTTATTCATTTTTTGAAAAACCCCCCCCTTTCCAACCCTCGGGTGACTTGGGATTTACGTCCAATTATGGTGGGGGAACGGATCCCCCTAAAGGGTTTAAATCAAAAATTGTTTGTAGGAACGGGGGATTTCCGGGGGTTTTTTGTAAAAATATGTTATGGGTTTGGGGTAAGGGTTCTTGGGGTATACGGAAAAAAAAATTTTTGGAGGGGGGGAACCCCAAAAACAGTTGTTTCCAATTGGAAAGGCACTTTTCCCGGGCCTCCCCAAGGATTTTTTTGTGGTTGGAGGGGCCAATATAATTTTTCCCCCACCATGGGGAAACCTTGGGAGGGGGGTGTTTTTAAAAAATTTTTATTTTAAATTAAAAAAAATTTAACAATTTATGGGTGAATTGATTTTAGTTTAAAATGTTTATCGTTTTTTGGGGGTAAAATTCTGATTTATTAGCTTTTTTTAGAATTTCTAGGCATTGATTTCATTCATTTGTTTTAAGGGATTTTACCGGGGGCTTACTTTGTTAGCATAAAAGTTGATATACAAAATTTTTTTTTCGGAATTCTGATTGGATATTGCCTGGTAGTTTGGCCATATAATTTTCACCATGAACTGAGGTGTTTTAAAATTTTATAATTAAATACATTGGATATTAGTAAATGTATCGTTTGGGGAAATCTGATTTTAGCTTTTTAGATTCTAGGCATAATCATCATTATTTTAAGGTCCGGGGCTACTTGTAGCATAAAGTGATATAATTTTTTCGAATTCTGATATGCATATTTTTGATAAATTTCGCCTTATTGTATCTTTGTATAGACTTGTTTAACCTTCTTTAAAAGTTTAAGTTATGATCGATATACTAAATGTAACTTTATTCTATTTGAGAGTTTATTGTATTGAGGACTTGTACCTCCTTGTAGTGCGAACCATAATGGTTTTCATAGTAAAGAAATATTATTAAGACAGTGACCAAGTCCTTTTAAAGCGTTTTGACTTCGATGAACCGGGTCGGTTGAGATAACCTGTTTTAGGTCTCGAGGGTAAATGTTGGGGTATATTATACACAGCCGTACACCAACTACCAAATTCAGTCAAAACAATCCGCATAAAAAATAAAACTTGAATAATGTATATTATATTATGATGTATCTATCAAGTTTTATTCTTTAAATGCGGATTTCGCCGAGTTTTCTTGTTTATTGCTTTAACTGGTCCAGCATTTCATAACTTAATAGTTCTTGAAAACCTGCATTTCATTGAAAGTTTGGAAGAGCTAGTCCTTTTATCTGAAAGCTTTTTTAGGATATTTCCAACAATTTAAATTAAGTTTCTTCTGATTTATGAAACTGCCTCAAAATCACTTCCTCTTGATTTAACCTGGTTTAAATAAACGAAGACCAAACGATAACAACACCCAAATCAATAACTAAAAACAACAGCAGGTAAATTATCCGTGATGAGTAAGATAAAGAAAGATGTCCTGCTAATAAGACACGGTCAGGGAGATCACAACAAGTTGTTCTACGAGAACAGGATGGAGGAGGGGCTAGCGCTGCGGGATCCGGCCCTGAACGAGGTGGGGGTTAAACAGGCAACCAACCTCGGCATACAACTTAAGGAACAGCTCCTGGAGTTAGTATGTTAAACCTCATCATTTCATTGTCCTTTTTAGAAACAATGTTATACATATATATCTATAAATGGAATATTAACACTCATTCGTTGTCTGATTGCGGGAAATCCGGAAATATTGATTTTTAGAATAATTCATGGAGTATTATCTTTGAGAGATATATGTTTTATATAATATAAACTCCACTAAGTAATAGCCATTAATCTTCATAATATCCTACTTTTTAAATCCCAGTGTCACCTAGTATAGGGAGTAGCTAAGGATCCATTGGATCTATGCGATCTCCTCGGTCGACTCAGCCGAATGATAGGAAATTGAGGGTTAAATGAGGAGGGGTACCTGTTAGAAGTTCAAGAAACTTCCTAGGATACCCCTTCAATGCATACTGTTAACATAGTACTATTAACAATTAAAAGATATAACTTCTTTTTATACTTGGACAGGAGTAAGTTTGATCTAGAGCTGATAATAACGTCTCCAATGAGACGAGCTCTGTTGACAACTGATTACGTGTTCGGTAAACTGCCTCCGTATCCTGTACTTGTGTCTCCTATCCCTACTGGTAACTAATCCTTTCAACATTTCAATTACTTTGTTCGCTAATGATTTTCAAGTAAAAATCTAGATTTTCAAGTTATAAATGTAATGAATTTTGTCGAAGAACCAAGAATATTTCCATTTTCAAGTTTTATTAATTTGCATAACAATATATTAACTGCAATAAATTACACTGATTCCACTCTGTAGAGATGGGACACGGAGGATGTGATTACGGGAGCAGTAAAACTGTTCTGACACGTGACTTCCCTCACCACGACTTTACACATGTCGAGTCAGAGGAATGGTGGACGGAGGAGGAGTCGCAGGAACATGTTAGTTTTATCTTACTTACGGATTGTTAGCGATTTCTTATACATTTTTACATTACTTTTAAATATGGAACAATTTCTGGTCATGTCTTTCACCCGTAACTAAGCATTTGTTTAGTAATTAGTGACAAGTAAATACTTAAGTTATTAATGACAAGTAAATGCTTAAGTTTTCATGAGTCTCAGATTTGGTATTCATAAAACTGGAGTACGAACCATCAATTACGAACTCATACTCGGACTAGCATCAACCTTGAATACGGCTTGAATCTTAGTAAATTCTCGGTGAAATACTCTGAAAAGTATAGCTTTATGAATGTATAGCAATGATTCCATCTTGCAAATGCAGATCATGGTATAAATTTTGGTAAAAGGGCACCAAATTTCTTTGGTGAGTAGATAAATATACCAATGATCCCAAAGTGACGATTGCACTCTTACAAGTCACGGCTTTAGAAGAATCACATCATCAATCATCATACCAATATGCTGTGAGATAACTTACATCAGGCTGTAGATCAGAGTCAGAATAGTTTAACCATATCTCTTATCAGTTGCTCTTTTGTGGAGATTTTACAGGCATTTTTGAAAACGTCAACGATTTACAACGAAAAATTTTAATCAATATGTACTTTTAAAATTTTTAAATGCTTTAAATCCAAAGTGATCGTCTCAAGATGTTACATGACAACATCTTAAACGATACCCAGAACGGAGTTATCAGAAATGATGTTGAGCGTTTTATTTGGGCTGGATGGCTGATCTTAATGTTTCTGACGTCACTTTTGGGGGACACAGCCATTCTTGTAGCCTCAATCAAGTACCGGGCCTTTAAACTGAACAAAGTCATTGTGGTGGTCATTCAACACGTTGCTACGTGTGATCTGATAATATCAACTACTGTGATACTTCCTCAAATTGTCACATTGATTGCAAATATTTGGGTCTTCGGGAATGTACTGTGCTGGATTACCACATACATAGACGCCTATGCAACTTGTGCCTCAATAATTCTAATTTGTACAATGATTGTTGGCAAGTGGCTGATACTCAAGTACCCCATGAAAACTCGATCGTGGTCAATAAATCAAGCCCATATTCTCTGCGCAGGTCTATGGGTTTTTAGTTTCAGTTCCGTTTGTATTCTCCTTCTGGTAGATTCAGACGATGTATATGTAAATGGTAATTGGTACAAGTGTTCTTATAAATTCAGTTCCAAAACTTGGGTTTGGCTTATCCCGACCATTTATGCAGTGTATACATATTGTTTCCGACCTTTGTGATGATTTTAGTATCAATCATTTTGGTGAAGCACTTGCACGATGCAAGAAGAGTGTCAAGGCAATCCCGTAGCAAGGTTCGTTGGCAAGGTGTTGCCACTGTTGTCCTTACAGCTACTGTGTACTGTGTCTCTTTTTTACCAGATGGTCTGAACATGTTGATGCTGCTATTCGTGGGGGAGAGCGCAGGCGGTCTATATTTCTCTCGGGTAGCTAAAAGCTGCATGTATCTCAACGTTGCTTCCAACTTTTTTGTTTACAGTCTTACTGTGCCCAGTTTTCAAAACTTTATTCGAAGTAGACTTTGTCCGACCAGGCCAGCTTTTCGTCCTGTTATAATGCTTCCTTCTCCGGTGAGAAAATTAGAAGTCTTGTTAATTTTTAAATTATAATCAATCTTGGATGATCTCTATAATTATATGGTGCTTATCATAAAGTAGAATGTACAGCTGTGGTAATTCTCAGGAAGCTCAGCTGCCGGGCCAAGAGAACACTTCAAGATACTCACACAATCTGCAGACAAGAGTTTAAAGTTCATCTGTTAACTTCATAATGTACTTGCCATCTTAATGTTATACTCATCTTAACTGTCATCTTAATGTTATACTCATCTTAATTCCTGTCTTTCTAGCTGTCATCATAACTTACACAGATATTTTGAGACAGCGAGAATATTTGAAATTGTTCCATCTTGGTTTTACCTCTGGCTCTGATCATTGTTATTTAATTAAAAATAATCACACTTTTACCAGGTACCGTACATATTATAAAGTATGTAATCAGATATATATCTTATACTGAAACCTTTTCAGTTAGAACAGCGCGTGGAAGAATTCAAGGAATTTCTGAATTCCAGACCGGAGACCAGAATAGCTGTCGTGTCTCACGGACGTTTCCTTACCCAACTCATGGAAATAGATCAATTTTGCTCGTTCGCGAACTGTGACTGTAAACAAGTGACTCTTGGAGGCGATGGTGTGGTCAGTGATCCTGGAGAGATTTTTATACGGGTTGACAAAATGTGGAAACCCTATTAAAAGAAGAAGAAGATCATAAAGCTTGGAAATAAAAACAATATTGTAGATTAAATATTTGGCTAGAAAACAATTGGTAGGGATATACAGTACATAGCTGATAGAGTTAGTGGTTATCTATATCATTTTATAAACAGCATGCTTTTTTACTTTTACAAAACAATAACACAGCGACCCATTGATACCTGCCTTTTGCAGGTTTAAAATTATTTTGTAGAATATAAATTTCATACTTATCTGTACAATATGAGGTAATATTTGGTGTATGTTATTTAATTTATAAACTCATTCGGAAAATATCGTTCACATAAATTACGTAAACCAGATTTTGGCCATTTTATACCCACTCCCTCCGTATGCTATTTAACAGATAGCTATTGTGTTGGAACTAGCGTAGCCACACCCAAACCCACTCCTCCTGCCTAGGCTGGCTTACATAATATGTGAACGACCCTTTAACAAACCATTTTACAATTCTTAAAAGGCTGTTTTTGGCTGTATTTTAACATTATTTTGATTAATTTTATTTGCGCTATTGCGTTACTGCAACCAATTACCAGCCTTATCTAAATAAATCTCCCTTGACATGATTCTTCCTATCCTTCACAGTCTCAATTATTTTTTCTGAACTGAATTAAATTTGTCAGCCGTTGATAAGCATTCCTTTTCCACTTTCCCAAAATTTTCTCATTGCAGATAAGTTTTATTATTCTACTTAGTCTTAAACGAAAATATTCGTTAGCAAGATCTTTCCTCAGAAAATATAATTCGTGTTAATTCTTTTCCGAACTCAGATTTTATATTGGTGTGTAATGTGTTTATTTATCGTGTACCCATATAATTATACGTATTATACATGATGTTTGGTTTGATTTATCCAGTGACTAATGTGCTCGACCCGGCGCAGAGGAAGCTGGATACAAAGTGTAACAACGGTTTAATAAACTGAAGGTTTCTTACTAAAGCAGTCGTTCTGAAACACGGACGATTGCTTCGACATGAAACTTTTAGTGTGTTAACCCGATCGCGTTGTTTCACTTTGGAAATATCTTATGTATGTGTATCAGGTATGTATCTGTTTAGTATGTTTATTGTTTATTAATAATTTCATTGGCACACTTACTTCACTTGTTTCACTTTGTCTAACGCAAACTCTTGTTTTAGTAAATAAACTGAATAATGCAAATTTCATTTCATAATTATTTCTCAGATTCATCAGACATTCAAAATCGCCTGGAAATTTAAAAATTTATAAATTATGTGGTTATTATTTAATTATTTAGTATTGAAGTTGTTATATCATATATATACTTAACGTTGCACAGCAAGCTTTTACAAAATTCAACCACACATTATATTTTGAAGGTGGTGAGTGACTATGAGGAAAGAATATAACTGATAAAAAGTAACAGTACTGATAACAAGGCTACTACAACCACATTCCACACATTCCAATAAAACGGACGTGACCACTGACCATGCTGCTGAAACACATTGAGATCGGCTGCAGGAACTTCTCCAAAGCCAAACAAATCTTCACCTCAAACTTCTCCTTTTCTCTTGTTCACGAGGAGAAGGATTCTTGTCTGCTCAAATCTAACAACATCAAACTCTTCCTCAAAAATAACCCCACCGATGTCAGCCGTGTCACAAACGTCGCATTTACCTGCCCCAATCTCCTTTCGTTTAAAAACAGTGTCACCAACCTGAAAACCAAATCATCAGAGATAAGAGAAAACTGTGCTTATCACCCTGGGGTGCCGTTTATTGACATCTTATCTCCTTTTGCTAATCTAAGTCATCGTGTGTATCAGAAGTGTATAGAAACACAAAATGAGACTTTAATGTCACGTGACATGGATCACTTCTTGTTCTGTTGTGACCGGAAGACAGCAAAACTTCATGCTCAATGGTACGCTGAACTGATGAATGTAGATCCTTATAAGTTGGCAGGTTCAGAGTCAGGCACAATGAAAGTTGTTGTAAATGGGTCAGGCATGGAAATGTTTGTTAACTGTGGCCGGGAGAGTGGTCTACCTATATTTGCGTTTTCTGAACCAATCACTCAAAACACTCTTGGGTACAACCAGATTGAGAGATTTTTAACTGCGAATAGTGGCGGAGGGGTCCAACATATTGGGTTAAAATCTTCTGACATTTTCAAAACAGTTCGCGAACTGAGGGGAAAAGGTGTAAGGGTCATTGAACAGCCATTTTCTTACTACACTTTAGAAGAAAAACTCGCTCAGTTTCAAGACTTAGATATTGATCCAAAACTTGCTTTTGAGAACAGTATAATAGTTGATAAGGACGATGATGGTTACTTGCTGCAAGTTTTTACTGAAAGTGTTTTAGAAAAAGATGGGATGTTCCTAGAGATCATAGAGCGTAGGGGGTCCAGGGGTTTTGGTACGGGAAATGTTAAGGCTTTGTTCGCAGCTTTGCAGAAGAAAATGGAGTCGTCAGCTGTGTCGTGATGTAGTGACCAGGTTTTGATTTAAAATATAAATTAGGCCTCATATCACAGTTAGCTGTTTTTATTGCTCGATAATAAAATTGTGTCTCGCTAGTTATAATCCGTTTTTGGATCTTGATAAGATTTAGTTTCATGAAATATCGTTGTATAAAGTTGCCTTGTTTGTAATGTTTGATGTGACCCACAGTTTAAATATTTAAACATTTCGGGTGTTAACTTATTATATCCCTTTTCTCTTGTATTTTTTCTAAATACAAAATTTGATTCTATTTTTACCTCGACATTTTACAATATTTAAATATTACTGTTGTCCATTTTATACTATACAGCTTTTCTATAACAACAAAAAATCAGTCAAACAATACAAACAATTACTCATTGAAAGAAATTAAAACCACAATAAAAAACTAAATATCTACAATCTGTTCTATAAATAGAAAAACAGCATTAAACAATGATTATTTGACATACAGGTAACGTTATCCACCTTAGCAATTGTAATGTTACAGTGTGTCACGTGCTATGAACAGCGTATCAGATGAGTGCACTCCTCTAAAGCACGATTACGACGCCTGCTTTAACTCGTGGTACAGCGAGAAGTTCCTCAAGGGAATCCCCAGTGACGAGTGTGACGACCTCTTTAAGAACTACCAGGCTTGTGTCAAGGTTAGGATTTCAAAGATATGTAAGATAGGAGTAGAGTGACTGTCGAGTGTCGACGCCCCTTCAGAAATCAGATCCAGACTGGGTAACCCGACACATCAATATAGTTAATATTTTCAGTGCTGAGCAGAGGCGGCTATTGAGGGCGTCCAGGTGTCCGTGGACGCCTTTAAATTATTATCTGGTGGCTGGTGCTTAAAATAGAAATAGTAATTAGTAATAGTGTTAGGAAATAACAAATCGCAATATAAAGGTCTTCGTTAAATACTATCATACGTTTTAATGTAAGCGCACGCATGATCTTCGTGAAATTTTGTGTTGTAGGGAGTCCAATCCTACCTCTGGACTACTCAGCCGCGCAGTTTTAACACATAGTTAATTGTAAAAGTTACAAATCACATCGTGCGCATCCCACTACAGGTAATCTATTATGATTTGCCTCGATTTGGGGGTCCAGGACCCTTTGAACTATTGACTGTTGTGATACAGCGCGGCTGAGATCGTACACGTGTGGTGTCCTGTTTCACCCATGTTTTAAGTTTTTGTTTTTGTTTGCTGTCGCCTGTAAAGTGTTACACATTACATTTACAAGGCCCTGTGTGTAATGTAATCGGTAGTTTGGAGGGATCAGCTTGAGCCGGCTCCCAAGCCCCCCTCCCCCCAGTCCATCGATTGGACCCCCAACAAAACTGCCAGCCAGCTCCCACGAGCCGCCTCTGGTGCTGAGTAAGTATAAGGCGTGGGGTCAGGTCCATGGGCAACTAATATCTACCGGTCGATATTAGTCGATATTTGGGCTGACCCCACGCCTAGTATAGTTAGTTCTGAAGAATACATATTCCTCAGAAAGCGCTAGCAGAGAAAGGACTAGAAATACCAGACTTCACCCCGGACGCCCAGGAAGATGGGTCTGACGGTAAGGACACGTAATGAGGTGCAGTTTGTGCAACTGTTGGAGAGAACCCGCGCGCTGGAGGATGGTAGTTGGAGAAAACCACATTATTATGAGCATCTGAAGAAACTACACTTGCAGCTCAGTGAGTACTGTCTTGAATCTTGAGGTTTAAGTAATGAATATATTAATTAATATAATAACATATTTAACACATTATATTCTCTTCGTGTGTATAAGGCTGAAATTCAATCAATTTTAAGGTGGCCCGTTGAATAATTCTAAAGTAATTCAATAAACCCTATACCCTTGCTAAAGGTCTTCGCTGTAAACAGCTGTGTTTCAGAAGAAACGCCAGGATTGACAGCTGACGATCGTGTAAGTTACGAGAAGTCTATGAAAGAACTCGAACAAGTCATGGCTGATATATCCCAGACGAAAGTTGAGCGACCGTCCCAAATCTCGGAGTTAATCCATCGCCGTCGTACTAAAGTGTAGGTTTTTACATTTAAAAAATTCCTTATCAAAACTTAAATGCTTGTTTTTCGTATTCAGTCCTGACCTGCTATCAAGAGATTCTGACATATTCTATTCAGTGGCGTAACGTTGCCTGTTGGCGCCCCCCTGCCGAAAATGCGCCCCCTGTTGGCGCCCCCTCCCTTTTTGGTGCCCCTCCCTAAAATTGAACAAATTAGGTGATTTTAGAGGATACGCCGGTAAAATCTCTAAAAAAGTGTGTATCTAGAGCAAAACGCGCAGTTTTGCTAGTACTTCAGTTAAGTTTTCGAAATTGTCCCACATTCAAACGACGATTTGGCGCCCCCCTAAGACGGCGCCCCCCTGCACTGCGGGGTCAGCAGGGCCCTTCGTTACGCCACTGATTCTATTCAGGGAGGAACAACAACGGTTGAAAACGCCTGAAAAATTAGTGGTCCCAGCATTTGCTGCTGAGACTTCGCTTTCTACTCCTTTTAGAGAAGAATATGTACCAGAAAAAGATGTTTCTGAGGTTGTGAAGCAGCACAAAGAGGTATGATGCAATTGCATGTGAACATTTAACAACAAAAGATTTCTCTTTCGGCTTTCATTGCCATTCTGAGGTCACAGATATGTCACTATCTTTGTCTCATCACTTGTTTCGACGAAAGTGGCAGTCACGCTGTAAGACAGTATTAAACGTAGGGCGCGAAGCATAGATTGCGATGAAAATAAACTTCTGTTTTTTTTAAATACGCGCGCGCGCGCAGCTTAGCTACATATTTTGCACAATAATACTCTATTTCTATCATTATGTCTTTAACACGCACATTTATAGAAATTGTCTGTGTAAATACCTTGCTGCGTGGATACAAAAAGATACTTGACTCAACGCTTATGAACAAATGTACATTAGAATTCGACCGACTGAAGTAAACAAAACGTGATCACTTTGAGGCAGTTTTCCTTACTTTGAACTATTAAGTTTGATATCACAACTCCTGATCCCCTCTTAAATCCATATACCTGTTAGAAAAAACTTGAAGCGTGGGAGATTGCATTGGTCATTTGGTCAGATATAATATATCGGTTCAGCTAGTAAAATCATCATTCACCTTGCTCATTTCTGTCCGTTGAATTTTGAATTTCATTTGAACACGCGTCAATTAAAGCGAATTCAAAATAACCCCTCTACTATTTTCAGCGACAATCAAAGCTAGCTGATCAAATGCTAAAGATGACTCAGAACCTAAAACAAGTCTCGGTGGCAGCACGTGACATCATACAACAAGATAACCAGAACTTATCCGGTGTACAGGACGTTGTGGATCGAAACACAGCTAAACTTGGTAAAGAGACGGCTCAGTTGGAAAAGTTTAACCAGAGCAGTGGCAAGTGCTGGGTTTGGACTCTGATATTTGTTGTCATGGTGATATTTGTTGTAATGGTGATATTTATCAGACTTTTTCCTAGGAAGAGATAAAATTCTGGAAGAGATTGACGTAATTGATGCTTTGATTTAGTGTTTTGATCTTGATACTTAGTTTTCAAACAGAGTCAGTTACAGTTCTTCGACTGTAGTGTTTAATAAATTTGTTCTGATCTTGATAAATTACCAGACTTTATTGGGTTTTACATTCGAGTTTCGACCACTCATTGCTTCAATAATTTTCAGCGGATTAAAAAGTTTAGTCAAAATTTCTAATGAATCGCTATCTTATAGCAAATTTGAACTTGGTTGTTCATATCACGATTATCGTTGAAGTAATACTTATAATATCATAATCATCCCTTTCTACTAGCCATGGCGGCAGGCCCAATAGCAGAAAGGAACCAGGACGCCACAATCTACGTTGGTGGGCTGGATGAGAAAGTGAGCGAAACTTTGCTATGGGAACTGTTTCTCGAGGCTGGACCAGTTGGTGAGACATTCATGTTCACTCGCTTTGAGCTAATCCGTTTTTATTTTGTCTCTTATTCTTGTGTTCAGAAGTTTTTCTATACTTAATTGAGATCAGGAAACATTATATTAATTTGAGACCCAATATTTACGTGTTCCCTATTATAATTACGGTATCCACAGTGAACGTACATATGCCGAAAGATCGTATTACGCAGCAGCATCAAGGTTACGGTTTTGTGGAGTTTATGGGAGAGGACGATGCGGACTACAGCATCAAAATCATGAACATGATCAAAATGTTCGGAAAACCTATCAGAGTTAATAAGGTAAGTTGGAATCGAACCGTTTTGCCGTCCCCAAATGGCAAACTTTCCTTCTATTCTATTTTATTATAGGATAGGAATTTTTAGTTAATTTTAACATTATGACTTATAATACCTTCTCTCAGGCCAGTGCCCATCAGAAGAGTTTAGACGTCGGGGCGAACTTGTTCATCGGCAACCTGGACCCCGAAGTAGACGAGAAACTTCTCTACGATACATTCAGTGCTTTCGGTGTTATTCTTCAGACCCCTAAAGTTATGAGGGATCCAGAGACTGGAAACTCCAAGGGGTTCGCTTTTATAAACTTTGCAAACTTTGAGGCGAGTGACGCTGCTATCGAGGCGATGAACGGACAGTATTTGTGTAACAGGTCGATTAGTGTTAGTTACGCGTTTAAGAAAGATGGTAAGAATGAGAGACACGGGTCAGCAGCAGAGCGTATTCTCTGTGCTCAGAACCCTCTGTCTCTTGCTGATAAGCCTCATACTATGTTCGCTGACGCTCCACCTGAAAAACCTGCCACAGAAGAGACTGAGGAACCCGTAAGGAATGGAATGCCGATGCCACCGCCCATGATGCCTGGAATGCTGCCGCCTAATATGCCACCAAATCTGCCTTCGATGGCTCCTAACATGCGGCCTGGCATGCCACCGATGCCACCAATGGGAATGATGCCACCACCTCCGAGCGGTATGATGCCATCCTTCCCACCTGTACCTCCTGGTGGACCACCTAGTGGAGACAAGGGAGGCCCCGGGCCCCCGCATAACATGCCACCGATGCCTCCTATGCCGCCAGGTTCAAACTTCCCGCCCATGCCGCCCAGAGGCATGCCACCACCTCCCATGGGATGGGGACCGCGACCGGACGGCAACTTCCGAGGAGGTCCTCGACCTCCATTTCGACCACCCTTCATGGGACAGCGACCACCCAATCGACCTCCTCGCCCTCCCGGCATCGATCAGAGACAGGAATAATAAGGCGAGAAGCTTTATTTTTCTGCTTTTATTAATTATTTTAACATTTATACTTAGAGCTCACATCTTATTTCTATCACTTCGCTGGTCGCTGTGTAGCGATATTTTGATGCTCACCGACGGATATCTTTTATTTATTTCCATTTGATATTGTATGAAGTATTTGACTTTAAGTTAAAACCTGTCATTTATGAAATTTCTTTTCGGTCCACGTCCCTGATGGGGGGTATACAACGGTCATTAATGTCAGTATTATAGAATTTTGCTGAAATATTCATATACATTAATGCACATTAATGCCCATTTATGCCCATTAATGCCCATTAATGCACATTAATGCCCATATTTAATAGAAAAATGGGCAAAAATGGGGGAAAAAGTATGGGCATTAATGGCAGTATTATAGAATTTTGCTGAAATATACATATACATTAATGCACATTAATGCCCATTTATGCCCATTTATGCCCATTAATGCACATTAATGACTGTTGTATCTCCCCTCCCTGATACTGAGAAATAATACACATTTTAGGTAAGTGTAACTAAATGATGCTTTAAAACATCCCCAATTTAAAATAAACCCTAATACTAAATTCCCTTTGCAAATCAAGTAAAATCCTAAAATAATCGTCTCATTAAGGGACTTTTAGTGCAGCGGTTCCGCAAAAGGCGGTTGCTTCACTGCAGTAAATACTCTGCCGCCTCGCAGCAGTGCACTTCATATTAGTCTATATATTGCGGCATCAGCCGAGGGGAAGGGCGTTGGCCTTGGGTATTTACTATTTAGCTCATTCTATGTTTACGGAGGGGTAAATGTAAATAGTAGAAATACCAAATATTCAATAACGTAACCACTCAGACTGGCCACAATAACTAGACAATATCAAACAGTTTAGGAGTTACTGGCTACTAAGTTTGGAGTACCTTTTAGCCTCCCTGGCTACCCAGCATGCAGCAAATATACACATGATCTCCAAGAAGAATCCTATGCAGAGGATATAGAATGTGAACATGACAGCTTTATCAGCGAAGGCTAGTGCTTCGTCCCTGCACCCAGCTGCGTAGGCGGTTTCAGTGGTACACTTAACAAGCACTTCGGTAGAGTTAGAGTTAGGGTCACTGGAGCAGCAGGAGGCTGGCAGATCTCCCTTCCAGTCAGTCGAATTTTCCAACCTGGAGAGGAAGGTGATTTAGTGTTTCAGATTATAATGTCTTGGTTTCAACCTAGTTCTTGATATTATGTTAGTTAAGGGAAGCACAGCACGAAGTATTTAATTTGTTTAATTTCTATGATTGACAAATTGTCAATGTAACTTAATTCCCTTACCCGCAGCACTCCAATTTCTCTTGAATAAGGTCAACTATCTGCTGAGTGGCGTTTGTCATGTCATTGTAAGCAGTCCCGTTGAAGGTCTGGTTCATGTAACTGTCCACTTCCTCTACCACATCTCCCTTTTGTAGGTACTCTAAAATTTAGACATTTATCATCCGCTTCAGCGATGGTTAAGACGTTGATTCAAAGGAAACTCTGATAGGAAAAGATTTTGGCGGAATTTCGTCTATATCCTCTTTAAAGAATGATAATTGCAATAATAAGATAATTACCAACGACAGCGAAGGCAGCCTGGAGCAGAATAATAATGAGGATGAGAACACAATATATCCTGCACACCTTGATGCTACTTGTTAGACCAGCGTACCAGCCGACAGCACCTACTAGTAGAATAATAACTCCTGTAATTACTACTCCGTACATCACCAGTTCTATGTTGTACCTGTGTGGGAAGAAGGGTGAACTTGGGGTGAAGTTCCGGGGATGTCATGGGGAGAGCTCCACAGAGTTTGTTGCTGTTTGGGGGAGTTTTAATAACATGTGCTGTGGTGCCGGTGACGATAGCATTCTGGCTCTCAGGCTGCTTCGAAAATTTCAGTAGGAGAAGCCTGACCTGTAGTTTTGCAGTTTGTCATAATATTGATTTTCGGCAGGGGCTGTACATGTTGCTTCACTTTCATGTGCACTGAAAGTGAAACATCTAGCATTTGCTTTACTGGGCGGCGCTCAGCCTGTCATTCCGCCGAATCTTTATGAACATTATAGCCTGGGGTCCCCAGGTAAGCATTTGCTTAGAATCAAGAATGTTCAAACTGTAGACTATAGGTCTTGTTGTACTAGTAGTGCCAAGAAGCTGATTTGCAATGAAGGGTGGGGCCCTCATAATTTATAACACCTCTCAGTCTTTTTACTTAGAGTACAATGACCTGAAATCTGCATACTGATAACGTTGAATTCTCTCTCAACATATCGTTGGTCGGTAGGGTCCATAATAATGTACATTGTTCAATAGTAGCAAAATTGATGGAAATAATCGGGCACATAACGCTTAAACGCCATGTTCAAACAAGAAATAATAAGTATGTTGACAAACCCGCCGCTGTACTCCTGGATAGTAGCCTGGTTGAGGATCCCCAGGACCCCACAAATAGTGACCAGTATTCCCACTAACACCGTCACTCCGTTCACTACCATTAGTAGGAGGTTCGTTTTGTTATCACACATACCCATCTTTCTGCTTCTCAACCCTCCTTAATATTATTTAGTCTGTTAGCACTGAGGTCTAGCAATTATTCGAGATGAGCTATACAATTATATTGTCATCTTGTGGATGAAGTGCATTTTTAAATGATCTGAGAGTTAAATTTTGCCTGGCGACATTATGCAGTTATATTTGAGGTTAGCAGATTGTCTGCATGCATGATAATTGCTGCTTGTAAGAATTAAGGTTATAATTGATAATTTAAAGCGCATTAATCGTATGTACTATGTGAGGTGTTTAAACTCTTACATCTGCAAAACATGATCAACTCAGTTGATCATCAACTGGTACATTCAGCATGACAATTGAAAGTCGAATCTGTTATCAAGTTTGAACAGACGTTTCCTATCGATTGACGCATGCATCTTATCTGAGCGATACAACAAATTGAAAAGTTTGGCATATTACCCACGTCCTATCAAAACTGCAAGTAAATTACTCGTTGGATCATCTAAGAAACCTTCATGCTTCAAGTTCAATGAAATATTTAATTTTAAATGAAAGGTCCACCTGGAAACTAGCTAATAACTCGTCAACATTAGTATTACAATGGAAGGCAAAACATAACCAGATGTTTAATGGTTTGCTGCTGAAATGCACCGATGAAAAGACGGCGTTTGCTGGTCTATGTTTATTTAGCTAAAACAACATCGGTGATCGGAGGTGATGTGGGTGTATGTTTGTTTACTTAACGTAACGTTAACACAGATCTGCACAACATAAACAACTGCCTCTTCGTCGTGTCTACACTAATATTTATAATTGTGCCATGCGCTTTTAACACGTAAGCTGGGTGCTGCATGCACGGTTACATTAAAATTTACCAATGTGGATCACTGGATAGATGTGGGATGGTGATGGATGGAATTGTATGGCATAATATATTCAATAATTATAGTGTAGTATATGTATGAATATGATTGATGATGGAAGCGCATGTGTATGAAAAGTTCGTAACACATGCACCACCTGGCACATGTACGTTTGTTATACTGTCATTTTTGTAAAATTATTCTCTTATATCTAATCTCCATCTCTCTTAAGCCGTAGTACGTACATATTACATTGCATGGAGCTTCCCCAGGTAATCTACTACGTGATGAACTCTTCTGTCAAAGAAATTTAGACGAGTAACATCCGTCAATCATATCACGTGATCGGGACAGTTTTTCACCAATATCTCATCAGGGGAGCATTTTAACTCGGGGGGGGGGGGGGGGGGGGTATCATCCGTCAAGCCCGGCGCGCGCTATTTCGTAGCACTTGCCTCGGGCCATTTCGAGAAAAAGTGGCGCGCGCTACTTCTTGTAGGTTTATAACCTACCAGGACGCGCGCCGAGTCCAACCTTTCCCGCTCATTGGACCAGGTGAGCTTGCATGCTTGTGAATGTAGGTGTAAGTACAGCTAAACTTTAGTTTATCCCTAATTATATTAACCCCTATACACTGTGACTATGCACTATAGAAACCTGAAAAGTGGTGACTGCATACTGAAGGGAGAAGTGCCACGACTACCTGCGCTACATAGACGCTGTTGTCAGCACTGCACGCGCGCGCACGATCCTTCCCATCGGGGTTCGTGGATACACTCCTGCGCGCAGTGTCGTGACCTCCCTTCGTCGTAATTAGCTTGTATTCAGATTGAACAATTTTGAAGTCAAATAAATGTGGTTTCTTTTAGACTTAAATAAACAATATGGATGTAGTCCGAAAGTAATTTGTCTACTAAATAACATTTTGAAATTATGAACAAAATTGGCGAAAATTTGCCGTAGATGTGACCAAAAAACTACGCGCAGAACTAAATATTTCTTCATAAACGCGTGAAAATTTTTGAGTTTAACATTGAATATTTTAGCTTAGTTATTGTAATACTTAATTTTCAAGTCTCTATCCGATAACTAAATATTTTATCTTTACGACAGTATAAAATTTGTTTGTATATTTGCTAAATTAAAAAAACAGTAGCAATAGAAACGTCGAAGGTCTTGCGCTTATTTCAGTCCCAAAATATACCCTAATCATTGATTTCATAAAAATCACTGAAAGTGATGTCTACAGGCATATTTAGCCCTAACACCTTCGCAAATCATTTAGCAAGGGTTCATAGTCAGTTTTTAAGATCAACTTCAATATCATTGTCAAAACAGTGAAAGACATAATACTAAAAGTAAATCATAAATGAGTGGTTTCTCTTTCTCTTTCATTTTAACACATCATGCATTAGTAGAAGCAATCCGAGATCTTTATTCATCATTGAAGATGTAGAACATAGAATAATTGGTCCTCTTTAGTGTCTGATTACCTATACTCCTGAAAATATATTAGGGATATTATCAATTATGTAAAAAGAAAACAATATTGAATATGTGTACAGCATGAAACATTGATAGCTTATGTTTTTGAAAGCTCGCTTATTCGTTTAAGCGATCAAATAGTCAGTGTGCTCAGTGCAGTGCACAGTGGAGAACAGTTTAAGGCACCGGAAATGTTCCAAATAAATCCTCTGTCTACTATCAGACCACACACTCCACTATGCACTACAATGTATTGTATATCAATGGCAGTTGAAATGTGTTCCCGCCATTTTAAAATCAAAAATGTGCGCAGCATCTTACGGGACATGCGCCGTGACCAACGGTCACGGCGCAATGGTTATGCGCCGTGACCATGGTCACGGCGCATACACATTGCGTTTAAGTTTTTGTATAAATGTCCAGCTTCTCTGTGAAATTTGGTTGACTCGACTAATTTAAAAATGTAATACTCTTTGTTTCATTCTAGTTTAATAGTATTTCTATTATGGTCGGAAAGAATTATAATGTTTTTTTCTTCTACTGGGCCACATTCAGCCTGTCATTCTGCCATATTTTTTCAACGGCTATGACATGAAAACTAACATATGAACACTTATATGAGCCTGGCCCCATGTAAGATGTTTCTTTGTAGTCAGTAGTGTATTACTATTTCGGTTTTATAGTTGCATTTAATTCAGTAAATATCAATGGTTTCTTCACCTCTTCAATGTAATTGGTTTGGAGGTCATTTGAAATAAGGAGGTAAAATAACTCAGATAGCTTCCGGCAAGTTCCACGGATACAGTGATTGAGTTTCTAGTCAACCTAGCCTCTTTGCCTGACTGATTTCTTGTTCGGCAGGGTGACTGCTTAAACGTCAACTTCAACCTCTTCCACTGCATCGAATCGTACTAGTAGAATTTGTACCTGAAATATTACATTTTATAGTTTAGCGACCTTCACATGTGGGTCAAACTTAGTATTTCTGAAAGTTTCGCCAAATTTCATTGATTTCAGAGGGTGTGGCACGTCACTCTCTCATTTTAGTTTTAATTATTGTCGCATATTAGTGCCGTATAATTAATGATGTGATCCATCCAGTTGTTTGACTTGTGCCCAGATGAAGGATATGAAAACACTGCTCAATATATTTAAGAGATATGTGGACTGGTCACGTTTCCAGTTGAAATCCTCCAACTCAAGAGCCCTGGTCATGAAGAGGGAGTAGTAGTAGAATGGTATGAAGAGAACAGTGGAAGTGGAGGCGTCGAAGAAAGTTTTAGTCTAGGGGGAGGGGTGATTCCAAACGTAGCGGAAAAGCCAATCAAGTTCCTGGGTCGGTGGATTAGAACAGAGGCAGCACAGTTTGATGAGGAAGTGGCTGGGTGTAGGCCATACACTGAGTAACATCTGCTTATTTAGTCAAACATCTACGGGGCCTTGCCCATCAGCTGCCTGTCCGATACTTGGAAGCTGGAGAAATGTCGACGCTGCATGCAGATCAGTCCTACCAGCAGTTTTTTGATGACATGATAAGGGCGATTCAACCGCAAGTCAGGTCAGGGAGAGTTTGGAGACCAGACAAGGAACTAGATTGTGCTGAGAGGGACTTAGTCTGTGAAGAGGTGAGAGGAATGGTCCAGCCGTACAGCAGGGCAGGGATTGGTTTTGGAGAATGGAAGAAACCGTGGAAGAAGATGAACGCCCGAGAACAACAAGCTGAGGTCCTTCAGAGAGTTAAAAGAAACCTCGAACATGAAGTTCAATGCGGCTCTCTTGAGATGCAGTCAAGATGGGGACAGTGGAGGGAAGAGGTTATGAAGACGGACATGAGCTGGCACAAACTCTTTAAGTATAGTGATTCGCTCACAGGTTTTATGCTCAGTGTGACTTATGGTACTGTGGTCACACCAGCCTTAGCATTGAAGCGGTGTGAAGAAGAGGATGGACTTTGCAAGCTGTGTGAGGATAGGACAGGGACCATACAACACATTCTATCTGGTTGTAGGGTCTCACTGAGCCAAGGGCGTTACAGGTGGCGGCATGATAAGGTTCTCAAACAACTCACAGACCACGTGACTTTCCATTGTGAACGCCGAGTGAACACGTCTAAGAATAGAGTGAAGGAGACCAAGCAATGCATTGATTTTATGCCTGAGGGAAGCAAGAAGTTTCCAGCGAAGAAGAGTGCACAGAGCGTAGTTTTGGTATCCTGGGACCTGAGTGCATCTCGGGACTGGGTGGCGATGTCTGATCTTGATGAGCAACTGAAGTTACCATAGGAGAACGCCGAGACCCGGCTGAGACCGGACCTCTTAACCAAATGCAATAGTTAGGGGCCATCTACTTAGGACGTCCGGCAAATAGGAAGGGTGTGGTTTCTGAAAATCCGGACGTCTGGAAATTTTGTCAGAATTAACGAAAAAGCCCCATTTATTTCAACTCTTTGACACTAATTACTCTGTAAGTTTAGATCCCTGTATTTTGAACGAGTACCTAAATGTAACTATGCTAAACCTGTTCGACACTAAATGTATTATTGTCAAGTATTATTTGTGCTCCTAAAAGTGAAAGCAGTTGGAAATATAGACGTCCGGGGAGGGGAGGGTTTTGAAAATTTGGACACACCCAGAGGTAGACTGTCTGTGTGAAGGTAAAATGGTGACATCCTCCGGATCTAGCAGAGGTCAAGAGTTATCGGGATTCCTTCTGTTGCACAATTATTGTAATATATGATCTTCACGTAGAGCTTAATCTGGCACGTGTAGTTACACGCGCGCAATTTAACGTGTTATGTGCTTTGTTAGCGATTTCGTATACAATTGCTAGTTTTTTATCAATACATAATAAAATGATTTCCCAGAAATGCTTACATATTGTGTTAGAAATGAAGTCTGCTAACACCAATGTCTCTTCTCCGTTGAACCTGGAGGAATAATAATAATAATAGTTGGTCCGCTTAATTGTTAAGTGATGAAATGCAACATACGGAATGAGCAATGAATGAATTACTAGATTAGTTGTATATATAAACGTGATAAAATTTAGAAGATGTGTAACGTTTATTACCAACTTGTTTGTGGTCTGATTATTGAGACAGAGCAGTTACAGTGTATCCCATGTGCGAGACGAGGAACATGTCCCACTGGATATGTTTGAAATACAGTGCAGATAGCAACGGCCTGTTCACCATATTCACGAAGTAACATACCAAATCGTGGATCGGGTATCAGTGTAATATGGTATTGGTAAGCTGATGCAGCATGGTTATAGCTTAGTGATCTTTTCGAATGTTCTAGTTTAATGTAGAAAAACCGTTTGGATTTGAGTGTTATAAGATTAGATAGGTTATCATCAGTTATCGATGGTTTTGCGGGGTAAGACACGTGTTAGTCGTAGCTAGTGTTAGTCTCTATACGACTAGTTAGTACGGTGTGTAGTGCGTAGGCAAAGTTTATCATTGGTACGCCCCGGTCGGAGGATTATTCTGGTTTTAACGATATTTTACAATAGTATTTCTTGGAGTCTATACTGTCTGACTCTACTTAACGATTGGAAACTGGCCAACTGTTTCATAAGTACAATGTACATGTGTATATTTTACAGTGCAATCTTATCTACAGCCCCAAAGATATTTCACCACATTTCGTTTGTCAAATTCGTAATCTTTAAGTGTATTGTGTAATGTTTGCAGATCATATAATACAGAAAAGTAGATCCTTCATGCAATAATTAATACTGTTTCATTTCTTGACTAATATTCAAGAACATAGGAAACTGGGTTGTGAGATTAAAAAAACTGGGTTTGTGGCTAAGTATAAGTTTCATCTTAAAAGTACTTTTACTAAATTACAATTAATCATATCATTGTCTAATTATTTCATACAGTCTAACTCCCCATCACAATCAGTACAATAGTTGATGAGGAAAGAAATTGTCTGTTGACTGAACAAAATGACGCCGCCACAAGGTTAGTTTGTTGGACATAAAATAGCTACTTTAATTCATCTCCAAATTGTATCGTAATTCTGAACGAAATGTAGCGGGTAAACCAAATTTGTAGAATTGTAAAATATCTAGAACTACAGGATTACGTGTACCAAAATTTTATAAGATCACGAAAATTTTAGTATTCTACAGTATTCATATTCGTTTAATAAAACTAGCACGATGAACCAAGCGCCCTACGGGTGGATTTGAGTAAGAGTTAAGACCAACAGTTCCACTGATCCTCATACATATTGCAGGCAATCCCTAGACGTTTACACGAACCACCACGTGGAGCTCTTCCTGTACGAGCTGCAGGCAACCATAAAGCTAACGAAGAATGCTGAAAGACACGTTTAGACACTATTTACTGCAACTGTTTTGTTGACTTTTCCAAAGTAATATGTTAGTACAAGAATTAAGGTCAAGGCGTGACTGTGTTTTCTATGGAAAAAATGATTTTAACCTAATTTCTGCATGACAATGTTTAACCTCATTTCTACATGACTATGATCTAGCTATCAGGAAAATTTAAACATCTTATAGTTATAATTTAAAATTATATCATTAGAACTAAGGGTTCATTTAAAAGTATCGAAATCTAAGTTCTATTTTTACAGTCACCTTTTTAACTATTGAGTTCAATGATTGCTAACTTTGATTTACTCTTTAACTAAAATTTGCTGAAATTAAAAAGTTGTATGATAAAAAGGTACAAATAATCAAAAACTTAGTGGATTAAACTCGTTTCTAGCCTGCGTCCAAACTTGCTTATTAAAGTTAAACGTTAGAATTTATTTAGAACTGTAACTTCGATTTAATAAAAGGCTCGAATAAAAGCAAAGAGGTTACTAAGCACTTACCTATTACCCCCATGACATAAGGTTAAAATTATCCCCTAACGAGATATTGGCGAAAAACTATCTCGATCACGTGATATGACCGTATAAGGAAGTTAGCCTAATTACTCTTTAGTGTTTCAGTATATGCTTTTGTAAAGGATTTGGTTAGGGTTAGGGTTGGGATCAGATTAGAGGTTTCCGGGTTTCGAATAGTTGTTTAGGGCCATCTACAGAACGGGTTGAAGAAGTCACGTGACAGGCGATTGTAGAGTGATTAATCATTATCCGCCATAACTGCCATCGTAAACAGTTAATTAATTAGGTATCAACAATCAAGTACAATATATAATACAGCAGGGCTGATTACTGCTGAAACATTATGAAGCAACTAAGAGCAGATGTATGGATGATGGAATAACGAGGGGCAACAGTGAACAGAGCGCGATTAGGGCGTCAACACTGGACGCACGAGATGTAAATCTCAAAGTGCTCCTTCATCAATTATGTTCACTCTTCGACGGATTTGACACGCGAAATTGCGCGGCAATTATGCGCGGCGTGTACAAATTTTCTAAACCTTTCGGACAAGGGTTAAATTATTTTTCTACTGTCAACACAGCCCAAGTTATGCATGTTTTAATATCAAAAAATTTCCGATTTTTTTGTATCATTTTTAACTAATTTCTTTTTCAAATCGCTGCCACATCAAAATTATTTTACGAAAGTACATAAAATTTTCACAGAAAGCAACCTTAATCGTTTTAGAACTAAATTATAAAAGAAATTAATATAAAAATGTTAAAACTTTAAAATTATCAATGGAATAAATTGTCAACGTCCAAATATATGTAAAATACGACGAAGAGAGGTCACAACACTGCGCGCACGGGTGGGATAGGTGCTTTTCTTGACTTGTGAAACAAGCGCGCCCGAAGTGGCGCGAAAGCACATGGTTAGGTGAATCTCGCTTGCAGTAGCGTGCGACCGCCGAAAGAAGCGCGTCACGCAGTACGCGTAGACACATGGCTATGTGAAGACTATCCAAACTATCAAATGTCAAATAAATGTAAAAATGAACCTTCATTTGAAAAAAATGAACTCTAATATGTT